AGCCATGTTGTCATCTTGTCCAGTATCTTTTCCCTCTGTCTGCCTCTGCCTCTCTTTCCATCAAACTTGCCTGTTGTTACAATATTCTCCAATGCACAAGGCTAACCCACAAGGCAGTGGGGGCAGGTGACTGGTTTCGGCGCCTCCCTCTCGCCTGACAATCTCACTGTATATAATACATTTCTAAAAAGCTGTGATGTATTTGACGAGCAGAATTCCAACAAGGCGTGGAATTATCATGTACCTGTATCCTCAGAACTTGACTATGACTCACTTTATTTCTGTCTTGCGCGCGGAATACGCGAGTGTAGGATATTGGAAAGGCTGAGAAAGCTATCGATATTACCCATGCCTGTGGGACTCAAGAACCTCTCGACCCAGCAAACTTGATAACATGCGGCAGTCGACATTTGAAGGCATTATTGGAAAAAATGACTGTGTTATGAACGATAGGTTTTGTGCACAACAACATCGCGTGCCGGTCACAATTTTCTTCTCTTTAAACCTCCAACACCAGCAAAACCTATCTTCGTGGATTTTAAAAAGGCCTTCAACAGGGTCTGGCATGCAGCCTTATGGGCAACCATGAGGAAATATAACATCAACGCCAACCTGATCAACGTCATGCAACAACTATATGACAAGGCCTCCAGTGCAGTCTACGTTAACGGCAGCATGGGGGATTGGTTCGGGACGACGGTCGGGATGAGGCAAGGCTGTTTGCTCTCTCCCACCCTCTTCAACATCTTCCTAGAACGAATCATGACTGACACACTGGAAGATCACAATGGAATAATCAGTATTGGAGGCAGGAAAGCCACAAACTTGCATTTTGCCGATGACATCGATGGATTAGCAGGAGAAGAACAGGAGCTCACCACCCTAGTGGAGCGGCAATACACAACCTCAGCGGCCTACGGCAAGGAGATCAGTGCCGAGAAAACCAAGCTGACGACCAATAATACCAATGGCATTAACACGGACATCAGGGGTGAGAAGCTTGAGACCGTCAACAAATTCGAATACCTTTGATCAGTCGTCTCAGATGAAGGCTCAAGGCTAGAAATTATCTCCAGAATCGCGAAAACAACAGCTGCGCTGTCAAAACTGAAACCTATTTGGAGGGACAGGAACATCACGCCTAACTCGAAGATCAGACTAATGCCCTCACTGGTCATCTCAATATTTTTATACGCCTGCGAGTCGTGGACGCTGGCAGCAGAATTGAAGAAAAGGATTCAGACAACAGAGATGAGATGTTACCGCAGACTCCTTGACATCTCGTACAAAGACCACGTTTCAAATGCTGCACGAGCATGGGGTACGGAACAGAATCACCAACGCAATTGCGCAGCATGAAGATCTACTGGACACAGGGAAAAGACGAAAATTTTAAATTGTATGGGCAAGTCACAAGATCCACAGGACTTGCCAAAACAATCCTACAAGGAACCGTGCAAGGAAAGAGAAAGAGAAGAAGGCAGAGAAGGAGATGGGAGGACAACGTTACATGGTGGACAGGAAATACGATGGGTGACAATCTGAGGAAAGCAGAGGACAAAGATAAATGGCGAGAGCTGGTTTTCAGATGCAGTGGTGCCCCCACGGTTGCCCCAACCACGTGATAGAAAAAGAAGAAGAACATAATTTGTCAACACATCAGGGGAGAGTGCATGACTGAAACCATAGTTAATCGATCCGACCCGGTTTGACCATGGGGATGGGCACCCATTTTGGCTAAATTCGACTAAATTCGACTTTGACCTTCAAAGTTAAAATGTTTGTTTTTCAAGGTGACAAGTTAATCGGTCGTATTATGCCGAAATGGTAGCTTTTGCCACTCCATAAAGGGAATTACGGTAATCTGATTGGCCCCGACTCAATTGGATTTAATCCTTTTGACTATCTGCACTGGCTTTTAGCAGCCTAAATATGGTAAGTAGATAATATTATTCATAATTTATATGTGTCTAAGAGAGAGAGAGAGAGAGAGAGAGAGAGAGAGAGAGAGAGAGAGAGAGAGAGAGAGAGAGAGAGAAAGAGAGAGACACCAGAGCAAGGGAAG